AATGGCGAACGTGGTTTAAAGGTTGACCCAATTTATATCCATATCCTGGTGTAACACATTGTCAATCTAAAGTTTGGAGTTTTTTTGGCTTTTGGAGAAAGGGCAATGGGCCTCCATGCAAAAATAATTTACAGATGGACATGGTTATTTGTAAATTGTGTAAAAAGTAGTATGCAAATAAAGGTAAATTGAAGTTTGCGGTCACATGTCATGTAATTCTACTCGTGCTGTCAAAATTTTAATAAATAAAGTTAACCTTTTTTAATACTTCAAAATATCGATTATATAATCGATTGTGTTCTTCCGATTCAATTTGATAATCGATATAGTAAAATTTGTCCGATTTTACAACACTACCTATTATTCAGGTTACTTACCATGAAAGCTTTCTGAAGTTTGGCCAAGTCTTTCATTGTGAGCCGGTTTTCAAGCTTGTTATCAATAGATATAGCCTTCCTGTAAAATAAAAGGAATAACAAATTGATTGACTGTCAGGTGAACGAGCTGTTCTCTCACCTTGAATAAATACATTTTGATACTATACAATTATTGCTGTTTTTTGAGGTCAATACAATGCTTTAGCCATCTGAGGAGTACAATATTCACAGAGCCCGAAGGGCAAGGTGAATATTGTACTTCGAAGATGGCTAAAGCATTGTATTGACCGAAAAAACAGCAATAACTGTTTTATTATATGATTTACTGATAAAATGATACAGCTCATTACTTGTTTGCATTTTATTAAGTCCTAGCCAAATACAAGAGAGAAACAGAATTAAAATGTGAATAAACCTTACCAGTCGTATCAATTTGAAATGTTGTTTTTTAATCAATTTTAGTCGCCATGAAAGAAATATATAATGCCAGTCTTTTTTTATAGGATAGATTTTGAAAGGAAGGAGTATTATCAGGGATAACTGACTGCCAAAAAGTAAAAAAAATTGTTGTTCAGTAAAAGTGTTGGAGGGGGTCCCTGCATCCCCTCTTACCACCCTCACCCTAAAATATATATTAGCTTATGTTTTGTTCACATGAAAAAAAAAAACAGAGTCGTTTAAATAGCTTTCCAAAACAATTTGTATCAATTTGGAATTTCCCAATCTATTTTTAGATCAATGTGGAGGAAATAAATCCTTGTATTGACCTGGAGCAATTCACGTGCAGGTTAATACAACGTAGTATTTTTCTAACATAGTTGGATGTCAGCCAATCAGAGAGATGGAAATTATTCAATCATATAATAAAAAGGATTCTTTTTTTTTATTTATATAGACTTCTTCATTAATTCTAGCTTGATATGTACAATGTACAAAATAATGAATTTGATTTATTCATTCATTTAATTCTATGAAATTTAGTCCATCAATTTAATTATTACTGTAAAATTCTTCTACTGCATCAACACCTTTTCCATGTGTGTATTAACATCTTCATAAAAACAAATGATATCACAGCAACATCTATCACAAACTCATAAAATATTTCCAACTTCCATTAAGTAAACTTCACATTACAGCAATACTGCTCATCTGCAGGGCAAATGCTATGTTTTGGTGAATTATATGACTAATTAAGAAACAAATATTTACTAGGATTCCAATATGTACTCATTTAATTATATCCATTGACAAAAAGTTTGCAAACCTTATTTACTCTTCCAGCAAAAGAGCAGTACTGCAGTTATCAATATATAATGTAAGTGTATTTTACTACGATATCTTTGCTAATCAGCTGTGCTCTTACACTTTACGAATACACATGAACTCTGCATGCAACCATCTCCTTGATATATTTTACATGTCTAACGTGCATTGCCCTTAAAATCCATGTCATATACATCAGTTACCATTCCCGTACTATAATAACACTGGTGCAGTACTTACAACTTTTGTAATTGTTTTTCTCGTTTTGTTTTAAGCTTTTTTGACACAGACAAAATTGCTGGAGTCAACAAAAATGTCACCCTCATTGAAGATTCTGTTCTGATTATTTCAATTTAAAAGTAAAAAGATATTTCTATAAACCAGTCCCAGTAAAGTGATTTCTTATACGTTATAAAAATTATATCCATGTACGTATACATCAAAATACTATTCATAGGATAAAACTATTTAAAAGCCAGTCCGCAGAGAAAACCATGCAGAACTGTCCAAATCAAAGGTTGTCATATCTTAATGAAATTTGGTGGGTAGTTAGACTTTATAATATGTTATTAAAAAATGACCAAAAAAATTCCCATCATTCAACATGGCAGCCGTGAGGCAGCGCCACCTCCTTTTTGCACATTTAAGTGCAAATGCACTTAAAAAATTCAAGAAAAATGGTAAAATTCACATTTGATTTATTTTACTCAAAATTAAACTTGCATTTCCGTTAAGGTATTTTGAATAACATAAGACCATGTTCTTTCAAAATTGACATTTATCATAATCAAATATTCAATATATCAAAGGGCAAGACAACTCTTGAAAATTGGCATGATGCCAATTTTAAGAATTGCCAAAAGTATTACAAATTTAATGCCCAAAATCTTCCAAGACCAATCTTTGAAATTATTTTTTTTTATTTTATTGTTCAAATATAACTCTAAACATTATCTTTGCCAAATATTAGCTGGGAAATAATAAATAATTGAGATATGGGGATTTACAAATTGCCAATTTTCGAAAAAATTGCTCAAACTCAAGTGGGTTACAAAGTCAGATATAGTACTTTATATTATAAATAATTGTTGTTAGATGTTGAAACATGTAAACATTTTCTTTGAAATAATAATTAAGAGTGAAAAATATTAAAATTAAAAATTAAATAAAACTAAATTGTCAGAAATTACCCCCAATATGAGGATTAGCATTTTGCCAATTGTTTAGAATGAAAAAAAAAAAACATAATAAATTGTATTGGCTTACTTGCAATTTTTCAACAATCATGAATATATATGTTCCTTACATTTTGTAAGTTAGTTTCTTTATAATAAATAAAAGGGAAATTACAAGTATTTAAATTCAAACGGACTCAGTATCATTCATATAAAATTTGAGATTTGAACATATAAAATTTGAGCCTTCAGTAAGTTGTTTGCTAGCTGCAGAACTGTAGCTCTCCGAAAAAATATATATATTGATAGACCGCAGGGCTACAGTGCCACCTGTATTTTTATTGCGCATAAAAAATGCGCTTGGTTCTAGATTAATTCTTCCAAATTCTTACCTCAATTGCAAAAACGGCTAGATTTCAATAAAGCTCCTTACTCCTTTATCAATTAACGGCATGGTTTACATCACAGGTGCTGGAGGACAGGACCCCCCCCCCCCAATACAATACAATGTGATATAATCTATCCTATCAATTTAGTTTGTTTAAAGTTACATTTTATAAAAATATCTACCCTCTCTATATGATTTTTATATAGAGAATGTAGGGTAGATTTAATAGAACGTTTGTTTTAGGTAATTTTTCGATTTGCTGGTATAGATCTTATCACAAATACGGCAATGAAAGATATTTTATGAGAAAAAATTCGAAAAAGCCTAGGGGTCTATATCGAAGGGGGGTGGGGGGGGTCCTGTCCTCAAGCACCTGTGGTTTACATCTGTACGAAGCGCGTTAGACTGAAATATCTTCTCAATTCCAGGTCCAGGAGGGCTATTAGAAACAATTATAAGGAATGTTTTGTTGTGGAAACGGTGAAAGAATATGTTAGGAACACACAGTTGGTAAAATTTTGAGATGACAGTTTTAAGAACACGGAGAAATAAATCGAGAAACGGCGCATCTTTTTTTTGTGCGCAATAAATATACAGTTTTTTCAATGGGTGGCACTGTAGCTCTCCGGTCTATCAATATATGTTTTTTTCGGAGAGCTACAGTTCTGCAGCTAGTTGTTTGCTTTCTGTCAATTTTAAATTGGTACAATCTTATAAAAATACTGACAGGGGATATTATACAAAAAGCTCCATAAAGGAGGTTAAGAAAATGAAAGATGCTGGAGTTTACTCTTATCCCACCTCCCGAATCGAACAATTGTCTTCTTTTTTTCGATTGGCAAATTCTTTTCAGGTAAGTTTAATTTTAAACCCCCCCCCTTTCAAAATCGTTTCTACGTCACTGCTATGACTGCAATTTTTGTGAATAAGAGATTTTATGAACATGAATAAATCAACTTTATTTAAATAATGGGGGATTGAATTTCTAAAATACATATTGTTTATAAATTTGTTCATTTAAGGTGATTTAATCTGAAATATTTGAATAATATAATACGTTTTCCGTTCCGTTTTTCTTTCCTCGTTTTAGCAATTAGAACCCTTTTCATTTTTCACTATTTTATCCATTTCAATATTAGTATGTAAATTGTGGAGAGGTGGATAGGGTTAAACGATTGGGTACTAGATATACTCGTATATTTAATATCCTGACCTTGATTGACTGACACGCCCCTCCCCCAACTGTTTTCAGTGGATACATATAACAATAAAAAAAACAATTTATCTCTGTCTGCAATGGTACATGTATTAATAACACCATTATGGTTATTCAGAAAAAGTATCAAATATTAATTTACACAGCCTTAAACAATTTTATTAATAATGTTTTGAAAATAATTTTGGCAAAATTTGATAGCCCCCCGCCCCCCACGGTGGCTAAATATGAATCCAGTTGTAACGTGAAGCGGTCACCCATCCAAGGGTTAAACAGGCTCGCCGTTGCTTAACTTGAGTCCTAGTCTTAGAGCTTTCTAAGCAGATTGGAACCTGACTTCAGATACGGCAACCTCTGCCGTCCACAGACACGAAGTCTGTGTATGGACACTAAGTCCTAGCTCTAAGACTTCCTGAAGCAGGACACCAGTCACTACGCTGCCACCAACTTTGTAACGTGAAGAAGCGGTCACCCATCCAAGGGTTAAACAGGCTCGCCGTTGCTCAACTTGCCTGGAGGGAGACTCTACCGCATCACCAGAAAAGCTAGCTCACTGGCGAGGCAGTACAAGTTCCCTATACATGTATACTGACCGCTACACAGTCTTTTATCATGTTTATAGTCAGTATTAAATTTTTACCACTTTGTACTGCAAACTAGCAAAGTTTTGGCTGCAGTAACGACTCATGTTTTCTTTGGTGGGGGGGATAGTACCCTCCCCCGAATAATTTTGCCAGTATTTATCGTGGAGGGTCCTATATCGGTGGGGTACCTAAATCGGTGGCATCTCCTTTTGAGCTGATGATTTTTAATGTGAGGTCTGACTTTATCAATATATGAATGTTACGTAACACAGTAGTTTAAAGTATGTAATGTAAAATTAAAAATATTCCTAGGAATGACGGTGTTTGGTTAACTCAAAAACTTACTAAATTAATGAAACCTAAACAATTTACATGTAGATTAAAATTACAAATTATTTTTGAATTTGTTGAGAGTATGCAATCAAATACCTGTTTGTATTCTTATATTTTCTCAAATGATGGAAGAAGAAGAAGAAGAAGTTGCTAAGACACTTAGAAAACTAAGTGCGTTTATATTGAAAATATATGATTTTAGTTAGTCATTCCTCCATGATTTTTCTATCCCTCACTTATTTCATTATTACATGTTTCATATGTGTTTTTCTTTTCCTTTTCATTTCTGATTATGTATATCATATACTTGTCCTCTGACCTGAATGAATATGTTGCAAATATTCTTCATTGTCCTCATGTACCTGAAATGGTTTGAGTGAATAAAATGATCTTGAACTTGAACGGGGCCCAGGTGCCTTAAACAAAATATCAAATGTATATTTTGATGAAAAAAAATATGTTATTATTTGATTAAATTTCCTATTCAATTGTACTTGTTAGGAAAAATTTTGTATCTGTTAAACGTTAATTACCATGAAATACAAGTAGATTCCTCGAGGACAGAACCCTATAGAAAATATACCTACTACATGTATAGTATATGCCCAAAATAGAAAAAATTAAAAAAACATCTAATGAACTTTTTTATTTTTTTATTACTTTCTAATTCTTGGTATTTTTTTTATAGTTGATAATACTGGTTGTCCCCCCTCCCCCACACTGAAATGGCTTCCTATGGGCCTGTTACATGTATTTGTTTATTCAAGCTAAATTGTTATTTTTTACATTCAAGTATCTTAAAATAAGTTTTCCCTCTTTCATAGTGCAATAATACTCCACAACAATTCCCTTGGTGAAGAAAAAATGATCTTACATAACTTTCATCTTTCCATATTGACATACCTGTCATTTTTTTTACCCAATAATACAAAAGAGTTCCAACAAGGGGAGATAACAATTTAACTCCAGCAAATTGGTAACAAGAGGGTAAAATAAGCAAAAGAAAGTTATATGAAGTGTCCAAATCAGTTATTCCTCTTCTAAAAAATATATTAGATTAAGAATCTTCTTTTTTTCTTTAAATATCATAGAAATAATCCAAAAATATGGTAAAAGACTGTTATTTAAAATATGTGAAATTGTAGCAAAATATGGTATTTCAAAGTTAATTTACAGCATGTAGATATTATTTCCCAAGCTCAATATTTTAATACAGAGTAGACCTAAGATCATTCTTAAAGTAACAATTAATTTGATTTAATTTCAACCTTGGTCTTGAGAGAAACGAGCGTCTAAAAATGGCTAAAAAATCATACTCATTTACTTAGGATCTATAAATAGATGTGTAAAAAATAAAATATTCATTTGATTTAAGTTTTTCCTCATTAATTGTGTTAATTGGACAATGACTTTGACAATAAAACAAAATTTGAAAATAAACTGATGACAAAAGGTAACTTTTTGACTTGATCAATTTGCATACATTTTCCATTAAATTTTGTGTGATTTTCGACAAATATGCAAATGAGCTGTTACTAAAAATAGAAACAGGGTTCGACATTTTTTTGTGGATATTCTGACTTCTACCTTTATGTAGAAAATTTTAAGTCACTAAAAATTCCTAAGTTGCAACCTTCCATTTGGACGATTTTTTGAATTTTGCATGGTTTTCTCGCAGACTGGCTCTTAAACCGCACATTTATTGCTTGGTGTAATAAAAATATTATAATATATGACACTGAAAAATGCAGACTTGTCGAAATCCGTCTGTCCTGTCGGTATTTTATTTTTAATTTGTAAAAGCAAATAAATCATAAAACACATCATTTTTATGTCTCTTATTAAAGACGTTCTTTCCCAAGAAAGGAAATTTGTAAGATTGAAGACTGTCAACAATAATAGAGGATATTTTGGGGCTGTTATTCATAAGCCTTCCTGGTCTGATAAAACTTTGTCCGGTCCAACAGAACATTTGTGTTTGCCAGACCAAATGTCTGACAGTGATTTAAAAATTTTGACAAGTCTGAAAATGCATAATTGAACATGACTGTACATCTTCTACGAACATGACATGCATGTGTAATACTCAACATTAATCAATTTTAAAATTGCAATTAAAGAGGATAAAATAAACAACTGTAGTATCTGTGCGACTGTCCAGTGGTACGACTTATTGTCTGTATTACGTCAGATGGCGGGATAGTCGCACTCTCTCTCTTCTACACCTGGATGCCAAGGAGACCGGACGTGTCTGGGACAGCAGCGGAGCGGGAAGTCGACCCGGGCCAGAACCCACTGTGATTGTCTTTGTATATATGTTGGATGTTATTAAATATATTGTAAAGCACACCCCCTAGACGGATACTTTACTGGCGCCCAATTCTCGGGGCCCGGGATTCCCGTACTGCTGTCACTGTCAGGTATTTTTAGGCATCGGTTTTAGCCGCCATTTTTGGTGCTGCTAGGTACGTGAGAGCACATGTGGATTTTTCATGTATTTTTCTTGAATCGATTTTGGAATTGATATGTAAATATTGTCTGTGATTTTACTGGATTATTTGTGATGTTCTTTTATGGATATGTCTGTTGAAGAGGCCGTGTCGGCCTTAGGCCTGGACACGCGCCCGGCTATCAATAGTGTCATGCAGTCAGACAGATTTAACCCTCCTGTTCCGTGCAGTGTGTATGGTTCTGTAGAAGGGGTTTTTTCACCATATGTTTATAACGGGAGCGAGCATATTGCATCCCGTCACACATCTTTTGCTCAATCAATGTCAGGTCACATGGGAGGGGGTTGCCCCTGGGGGGTCCCTCTATACCTATGCCCGGCCTGCATTCGGGCATCCCCTGTGGGGAGGGTAGTGTGTTACATGGTATGTCAAGGAGAGAGTTCAGGTTTGCCCAGCCCCAATGTAGCTCACCAGGGATGATGACCAGTGATTCCCTGGAGTCCTCTTTAGGTAGCCTGTGTTGGTGTGGCTCACCTGGCAGCACTGTGAGTTGTAGCCCACCTAGGTATGAATACAGTGAGGTTCCCTTGAGTTTAGGTTTAGAACATCGGTATTCTGTAGGTCATGTGCTCTCAGCTCGTAGCCAACCTGTCCTTGTGGGAGACACAGCTAACCTGGGGGACATAGGAGTTAGACCAAGCTTTGGTGAGGGTATACCCCACTCGCTTGACCCCGCCCCTCCAAAACATACACTGTTTGCCAATCAACAGCCTGTGAGGCCTGCACCGCTCACTTCTGTGTATGATCTGAGGCCTGTTGACCCTTTAGGGCTCACCTGGAACCCTTTGTCTGTACAAACCCAGCCTAGACCCGCGGACTTTAGTGTGTCCTCGCTTCCTGGGGATGATTTTCAACCCCGGACCTCAATGCCACACACTACCTCTGCCCGAGACTTGGTGAATACTGGGGGTGGACATGCCCAACCCCCACTGCCCGATCACACCCAATCCCTATGTTTCTGAGATGAGGATATTCAAACCTCACACCTAGGTATGACCATGCCCAGTGCATCACAGCATCATAGTGTCCCCATGTCATCGACTTGTAGTCCTGCCTATCTTGATACCCCAACCTGCCATTTTGGAAGGGAGGGGGAGAGGATAGCACATGTGCATGGTACAGCCAAGCTGGGACACTATGCTAGTCAGCCTGTCCCAGCCCACCAGGATAGCAGCTTTAATATACCTGCACAAAACACCAATAAGGCAGCTGCTGGGAGTAAGCCCAGGTATAAGAACCTTAGGTACGATGGTAAGACCAGCTGGAAGGCATTTTTGCACAAGTTTGTGAGGTTGTCTCGTAGTCAGCTGTGGACCGAGGAGGAGCAGCATGACCAATTCTGTTTTTCCCTTGAAGGGGCAGCAAGCGAGTATTATACCTTGTTGTTAGAAACCAGTAGCCACCTCCGCCTAGATGAGATCTTGCAGAGATTTGAGAAGCGTTTTGGACCCTCTGCCCCCGATCTCACTCATCAACTTAACTACCAGTCTGCCAGCCAGAACCCTGGGGAGTCGCTTCATCAATGGGCCGACAGAGTCCTGACTTTGGCGACACGAGCCTTCCCCAGTGTGCCTGATGTGCACACTCACGCTATACCTCGGCTATGCTATGGAGCTGAGGACAGAGATGCTGGTATTTACGCACTTGATGGGCATCCCCGGACAGTGGAGGAAGCCGTGGAGCGCATGCAATACTATCTGGGACAGCAGCGGAGCGGGAAGTCGACCCGGGCCAGAACCCACTGTGATTGTGTTTGTATATATGTTGGATGTTAATAAATATATTGTAAAGCACACCCCCTAGACGGATACTTTACAACAAAATCAACAACAAAATAAAATTCTTATAACGCTTACTTTTCTTTGTCCGGGGTTTTACTCCGTGAGGATTTCATCAGGTCTGGCGTCTTAGTCGTGTCCAGCTTCCCAGAAGTAGCCACAGTGGGGGTTGTGGCTGTCGTCGACATCTCAGATTTGGCGGATATCTAGCAGGTGCCCGTTTTCCGTTACGACATTAAAGCATAGACAGAGCGTGTAGCATCAAAACTTGCAAAGTTAGAATAAAATGTTTTGTTGATTATACTTCATTTTAAATAGTTATCTAAACTAAATCAATAAATAAAATCTGTCAATAGATCTCAGCGATAATCCTCGCTGTCCGCCATTTGTAAATCAAGTTGCCAAGGATCTATAGAAATAGAATACTTCCGATATGGAAAAGAAATTTCCGGATTTCTCTATTTCCATACAGAACTTTGGATCGGATGAAATAAAGAAAAGAAAAAAACACAAGATATAATAGATGTGCCATATAATTGCAAAAACGATTATAAGTTTGTTTTTTTTTAATTAATTTTTGTACAACTTTTATTAAAAAAAAGTTTCCACGTTGTATAAAACAGTAGCGGAAAAGGGGGTGTGGTGTGTATAACTATTTTTGCTCTCCTTTTACATTTTTAGCTCACCTCGACGAAGTTGAGATGAGCTTATGCTATACCACCGGCGTTGGCGTCGGCGTCCCAGGTTAAAGTTTTAGGAACAATTCCATTCCCAAGTAACTATAAGACCTACCCGGACCAAACTTGCATGGATGATGCATCTAGGGATGGACACTACCAGAATTGCTTTGGATGCTGGATCTGACCTACATTTTCATTCCCAAGTAACTATAAGACCATCGTCTCAAGCCACGGTCCGGAGTCCGCATGTAGGTCTCTCCAGAATGGGAGAGGAGCGTACATTTTGGCCGTGGTTTGCGACGATGCTATAAAACATACCCGGACCAAACTTGCATGGATGATGCATCTAGGGATGGACACTACCAGACTTGTTTGGGATGCTGGATCTGACCTACATTTTCATTCCCAAGTAACTAAGTATAAGACCTAATCTAGGGTGCATCTAGGGATGGACACTACCAGACTTGCTTTGGATGCTGGATCTGGCCTACATTTTCATTCCCAAGTAACTATAAGACTTACCCGGACCAAACTTGCATGTAGGATGCATCTAGGGATGGACACTACCAGGCTTGCTTCGGTTGCTGGATCTGGCCTACTCTTTCCAGTTTAGTGACCAAGTTAAAGTTTTTGGAGCAGGTCAATTTTCAAGTAACTTCAAGCCCAACCCAAACCAAACTTCAGCCACGTAGCATCGTTTTTGAAAGTTGGGGGGGGGGTGCAGCCAGAGAAAAAATTTTTTTTTTACTTACTTGAAAAACTTGACAAGCAAAAAAAAATATATATATATATATATATATATATATATATATATATATATATATATATATATATATATATATATAAAGGAAATTGCCCAAACTTTTAAAATCCTATTTCGTGGGGGACGGGAGTGTAGAGACCAATTTTTTTCAATGCCAACTTCTCTCAGTACCCATTTGTTCATACATATATTCAACACTACATTTCCCTTAAATCACTTTCCTGTAGTATAAAGGAGGGGGGGGGGGCAACCAGCCTTTCACTGAACATTTCTAATATATAGTAAAAGTCATGTTGGGAAAAAAAGGGGGGGGGCCCCCCCCCCCCCCCCATTGTCCCCCCCCCCCCCCCGTTGCTACGTGCCTGAATTTACTTGCATGGATGATGCATCTAGGGATGGACACTACAGTGTACTAGACTCGCTTCGGATGCTGGATTTGTCCTTTACATTTTCCAGATAAACAACCAGGTAAAAGTTTTTGGAGCAGGTCTTTTCCAAAGTAACTTAAAGCCCTACCTGAACTAAACTTAAATGGATAATGCATCTGGGTATGGACACTACTAGGCTCGCTTCGGATGCTAGATTTGGCCTATATTTTCAGATGAGTAACCAGTGTTATGTGCTTGGAGTAGCTCTTTAATTTTATGGCCTGTTATGATGTAACTTTCTGTCAGCATTTGACTCAATGATAAATTGCATTTGCTGACAAGGTCATTGTATCCACAGGCACCTGACGTTAATGAAAAAAAATATACTCCCCACCAAATATATAAGAATAAGTAACGCGTCAGGTGCTTGTGATTGTATTGACCATAGAACTTAAGAAGTGCTGACTTAAAAACGAGACGGCTGATATTCTTGTTTCATCAACTTGTTTGTGAATGATTTACTCGTTTATGAAATTATTCATTCTTAAAACATGCTCTTGTGTATCGAATCAACTGAGATATATTAACCCCATATGCAGATGAAGGTATAATACTGCATAAGTAATTAAGGGAAGTTGCATGACGATTGAAAATTTAAGTTGCTGTCATCACGTTTATCGTAAGACTTGGTTTTAAGATTACCATTAATTTTTTCAAGTAAAATATCCAGATATGAAACAGAACAATTTGTCATGCTCTGCGGTATGTTTTATTTCATGCTCACTTGGAGATATGCTGATATCGTATCGAACAAAGAAAGGAAATAACCATTGTTAACATACAATACGTCGTAAATATATCTAAATGTCGAGTTGAAGGCCATAGCAAGTGTTTTCTTCTTTTAACGTATATGATTGTGAAAAAAAAATCTGGGGCCCGTTTCACAAAACTATCTTATGACTAAGATCTGTCTTAAGACTGAAAATTATCGTAAGATTGCACCATATCCGTTTCACGAAACTGTCATATCTTATGATAATCTTAAGATCTATCATAATCTTAAGACGACCAGATACATGTCTTAAGTCTAAAGTGAAACTTGCGACATGTATTGCGACTATGTATTTTGGCTGAAAACCAAAGGACATTTAAAGAAAACGGTTTTTAGAGATGGAAAAATCATTTGGACTATATCAGGCCAGTCAGAACAATGACACCCCCCCCCCCAATAAAAAATGCCGAAAAACATACGATAGAAAAACTAAATTGTACGTACTTTGTGTTTTCCTCTTTATTCATTTCAAGACCAAAAAATTTTCTTTGGTTGTACCCCCTCCCATTTGAAATTGCAACCCCCCCCCCCAAAAAAAGCCAAATACATAATTCTTAGGATCATGTGCATTTTCATGGATTTGATTAGTCCATGAATTTTACTTTGATTTATTTTGTTACAGTGTGGCAGACAATATGTAAATGGTTTTTATATGTCTCTAATTGTGGTGATTTAATTTCAAAGTAAACATTTTATTCAGTCGTACACAGGCACGTAGCATCGTTTTTGAAAGTGGGGGGGCCAACCAGAGAAAATTTTTTTTACTTACCTGAAAAAGTTGACAAGCAAAAAAAAAAAAAAAAAAAAAACCAAAACTTGCCCAAACTCGAAAATCCTATTTCGTGGGGGGGGGGGGGGGGGGGGGTAATGGCCAAATTTTTCAAAGCCAACTTACTATCACTTCCAATTTTTTCCTTAAAATCCTTGCTATCACTATACTATGGTTATAAGTGGGGGGGCCAACCATCCTATCAATGAACATTTACTATAGTAAAGGTTAGGTTGAGGAAAAAAGTGGGGGGGCCAGGCCCCCCCTGGCCCCCCCGGATACTACGTCCCTGGTACAAAATTAGATGAAAATAAAATGGTATAATTTCTGGGGTATCATCATTAATCTACAGGAATGTGTATGACAATTCAATATGCTGTAATATTTGATGCTGCCTTTTTATTATATTGTTGAAACCGTAAATTTGATTTGAATTTTTTCTTTCGTTTCTCTTCTTCATCTGTTAGCATCGATATTTTGTTACAGTAGTTGAAGCGTTTCAAAGACACCTGCATCGAATTAATTTTATGAACGAATTTTGAACACGATTTGGTGTACATGTCTTAAAAGGAGTCATTGTTAAAAAAGTGTACGTTATTTGCAAAGTTTTAGATACGTACACTAGTAGTTTTAGTTAAAAGTAATCACACTTAATTAAAGTTGATGCTATAACATGTTGTAAACTAAATAATGAGACATTATTTCAGTATTTCAAAGAAAATTAATGAAAGACTTCGTGAAAACATATTTTTAGAAAATTCCTGTGAAATTGAAGAATGGAATTTGTCATAAGACTTATCTTAAGATTTCTTATACTTAAGATAGTTTTGTGAAACAGCAATGACAAATCTTATGATTGTCATAAGTCAGATCTTAAGATGATCGTAAGATCTATCTTAGGACAAATCTTACGATAGTTTTGTGAAACGCGGCCCTGCTTCATATGAATACAAAAATAGGTCTGCTAATAACGTGGCGCATTTGGTACCCATGGCAATTCCAATGGATTAATTGATTTCCAAAAACCACGTAGATATTGTCAAACATAAATTCAAGCAAATTTTTGATTTCAAATTCATAGTACTTGTGGAAACAAACATATGATGTCATAGGTTTTTGCAAAAACTGTAATTAGTTTAAATTCATACCTATTAGAACAATATCTTTTGGAAGAATGCTTTACAATAGGTGTAATGATAGATATTGTTAAGTAAAAGAATTTATATGCATATTTTCTTTATTCAATCTTTTAAAAATGTTGACAAGGGCAATAATTTCTTCTAAGGTCTCTTCATTCAGGCATTTGCTTTCTTGTACTTCTAATGTATTTCCCTGATATTCACAATTCAAAACTAAAGTATATATCTTATACGTAGGAAGTATTCAGGAACATTCAGCATCAGAATTATGTATTTTAACCAATTTTTACATATTTTTCATAATATTCTTTACAAAAAATGTGCGATTTTTTATGTTGACATACACTTCTGTTTATTCATGTTTCGCATATTGAATAATATGGTGACCTATACATTTTTTGTAATAATTGGAAAATTTAAAGTATATCAAATGAAAATAAATGCAGTTTTTGTACTTTGAACCATTAAAATTGTGAGGGTGGAAACCCCTTAAAGATGTACTGCGGTCAATTAATTTAGGATTTTTAGATATAGTCCCTTAACATAGTGAGATTCAATAAACTGCATCCTCTATTGACCTGACACACCCACAGTATACGTGCTCTTTGACATAATCGGATAATTTAAAACGGAAATAAACTATTCAGAAACAATGCTTGACAATTTGTATGAAAGATGCCATTTGTCAACATTGGACCCAATTCAGCGTAACTGTATATTGTAAGTGCAATTAGCAAGGACATTGCATCAACCGTAGAATTTGCGAATTTTTTGCTTTAAAGGAAATTATTTATATCCTTATGTCATCAACGTATTTGACAGTAGCCCACCTCTTTGTAAAATTGATGCATCTCAGCTG